CCTAAACCCTAAACCCTAGAAAACCATTAGGAGGCCAAGGAGACTCGAGGGCGGTGAGTTTCCGGGACCTTCAAAGCACACCGAAGCACCGAAGATGGGGGCCTCACCTGACAGGCTCTGTGCGCCTTTGGGAGCCCAGAAACCATGAAGCTCCGGTTGGTGACAGGTTCGGGTTTAGGGTTTAGGAGTTTAGCGGCTTAGGATTTAGTGCATGTGTGTGGGTGGCTAGGGGCAAAGTCTCCAGGACAATATTTCCTGGTACGGGGAGCATGCCTCAACCCTCTCTCCACAAACAGCGGCACCACTGGTGCTGACGGTCCTCCTGGATAAAAGTAACTCTAAACCCTAAAACCCTAAACCCTAAAACCCTAAACCCTAAAACCCTAAACCCTAAAACCGGATAAAAGGGTCCTGGCCCCAGAAGCAGTGGTTCTCAATATCAAGATCCTTGCTACTACTGCTACAGCTGCTGCCTGTCCGTTTGTGATAGTTACTGCTCTTGGCAGCGCTTGCATCATCGGATGCTTAGCCCGCATGCCATACTTACCAATGTCATTCCGGAGGGCTCCATGTTACATTTATGCTGTAATACGGTTGATGATAGAAATCCCGCAAAACCCAACAAAAAGGAATGTACCACAATTCCCATAGTTTAGGGTCCTTAAGAGAGTGCAGGATTTATATCATCAACAGCATGCCCCCCAAAAGCACCTTAAACCCACAGCCCCAAAAGCATTTTCTAATCATTGAGCCCCCTAGAAACAGACCCTAAACTCTAAAACCTAAAACTTGAACCCTAAACCCTAAACCCCTAAGCCCTAAGCCCAAAACCCTGAGCCTTAAGGCAGGAGCTGAGGGCTTGCGGGACGCGGCATAAGAAAACTTGGTTGGGAGAGTTGAATCACCCTCAGCCTCAGCCCTAAGCCCGAAGCCCAAAATCTTAACCCGTGAAAATGCTAAATACGTTCAACACGCCAAACCCTAAACGCCTAGATCTGAAACCCAGGACCTTTTTAGAACCATTATAGTACCCTTATAGCGGCCCTAAATCCCTAACACCTCACTCCTAACCCAGAAAAGGGGGGTGAAAAGTTGTGGGATTTGACGTCAATACCAAAATCCTAAACCCCAAGCCTAAACCCTTAAAAGGGGCTTCTTATAGAATCCTATTGTACCCTTAAAGGAGACCCTATTACAGAACCCTCTTATACAGTACCCTAAAAGTAGAAGGACTACTACACCACTCATGTTTTGAAGCCCCAAACCCCCAAATTCCCCAAGCAAACCCCAAAATCCCCATGTAACCCTGAACGCCCTAAACCTCAAACCCCCGAAAATCCCAGCTGCAGCTGCCGGGAGGCATGGCTCTCGAGCGTGGAGGAGAAGATCCCAGACAAGGATGCAAAGCAGCCGGGCAGAGCTTCAGCCCGGGGTGCAGGATTTAGGGTTTGGGTTTAGGGTTTAGGGTTTAGGGTTTAGGGTTTAGGGTTTAGGGTTTAGGGTTTAGGGTTTGGGGTTTGGGGTTTGGGGTCTAGGGTCAGGGTGCAGGATTTAGGGTTTGGGTTTAGGGCTTAGGATTTAGGATTTAGGACTTAGGGTTTGGGGTCTAGGGTCAGGGAAAAAGGGTTTTGTGTTTAGGGCTTAGGGTGTTTGGGGATTCGAGGCTGTTAGGGACAAGGCCGTTGGGGGTGTCGATAAATATAGGGGCCTTAATAATTGGAATAGAGTTTTGGGGTATATTATACAAAAAAATAGAATAAGGAGCCGCCAAAATAGTATAGGTAGTTATTTA